TAATATATTTCACCATTAAAAAAGAGATGAAGCTTCTGCTTGTGTTTATTAGGGTTCATGTGTGAACCCAGGCTCAATGCATCACCATCCTACACCTTAACTTGAAAGCCGCTTGAATTAAAAAAAGAGATGAAGCTTTCTGCTTGCGTCTATCAGGGTTCAATGTGAACCAAGGCTCAATAAAATCAACATCCTACACCTTAACTTGAAAACGGCTTGAATTCTGACCAATTCAAATAATATTAGGAACCATATATATAATTAAAAGGCAGCCTTATGGTTGGATGACCTTCGTTTTCTCTCATATGATCCATCGCGAAGGCCTTGCTAGCTTTTGCCAAAATTGGTGACGACAATGCATATAAGATACAATTAGGGTTTAAGGGGGGAAAAGAACATCAAACGTACAAAGGGAAGCTTTATTGAGTTACCAAAAAAAAATAAAAAAATTGCTCCTAATCAAGGGGTTAAATCATAGAAAAACTAATAAAAATAGTTTGAAAACGTTGATTTTTAACAATAAGGACAAAATAAAAGGTAAAATAAATAGTACCATGATTGACTTTTTAGTGTAAAAATATGATTTTTCATTAAAATGAATAATATCAAAAAATCCCCCGGGGGCGCCCCCCTCTTCTCTCTCTCTGTAAAATCAGAGCATGAAATCTATAAACCTGCAAAACAAGAAAATAGGAAAGCAAGGACCGCTGACAGAGGGGGTTCATGCCACACCAAGGCTGAGGAATTACAATCCCATGATAGCAAAAGCTATCTTCACCTACATTCTCTTCTCGGTAAATGTTAGATCACCTTGTTCCTCTTTGACCTCTTTGTACATAATGATTTACTTATTTGGCACGAATTTGTGAGATGACTATTGTTGCTTTCACATTGCATATTATATACAGAGTATAATTGGCTAAACCTTTTATAATTTTAAAGAAAAACTAATGAAAATAGTTTGAAAATTTTGAGTTTTAACGATAAGGACAAAATAAAGGGTAAAGTAAATAGTACCAAAATTGATTTTTTTAGTGTTAAAATGTGATTTTTCGTTAAAATGAACAATACTAGGAACTTTTTGTTAAAGTTGTCTAATTTTAATCCAAATCCGAATATTTGAATTTCTTTGATTACATCGGTTTCCGTCCTATCATTACTTGGTCTACATATCAAGTCACACATCTTCAAAGTTCCAAACCCTAATGTCAAGACACTCACACTAATCCACAAATGTTTTAATTCTTAATTAAATTGATAAGGATCGTAGATTGCTCAGTGAAATGAATTGACAATGGCTTCTTGCTAAGTCGCTGACATTGATGGATGTTAATTAATATTTAAAACAAAAAAGATTGAATTTCCCTCCAACTATATCCCAAAGCTCTCTTAATTTGACTGAAATAGTCTTATATCTATGTAGCATTAATTCGATTACGACGAGAAGATGTGATATATGTTCCAAAACCCAAATTTCATCATCCCGCCGAAAGGCACATGATGAAGAAGAAAACTTCCATAGACATTTTGAATGTCATTGTGCAATTACTCCACTTGCATAATTTTATTGCAAGTCTCCAATGTAGGTGAACATTTTGCGTATAGGAGAAATCCTAAAATGTATGTTGAAAATTATATTTTTCATGCCACTAAGATTTTGAAGTTTGAACATATTGGAGAAAGTTGCCTTCAGAATTTGACAACTTCCTATTGTGAAAAGCGAAAACTCATATTTTTTTTAGTGGTGATTTGATGGACACAGAGGTTATAATTATTATGTTAAAATTTGCATCTATAGCTGCAACAGAAACTCTACATGTCTACGCCTTCAAAAGACAACTCATTCATTGTCAAAGATGCCATCACACCTTAATGGAAAATATGTCACGTAGACAAGACCCCTTTTCTTTTTCTTTTTTTTTCTTTTTTTGGCCCTTTTGGAAAGAGGACAGCCGGTGTTTCATCAGAGCAGTTCATTGGTAGATGTATCCTTCCTGAGTGTTCCAAAGATTTATAAAGATATTTTAATCTTTTTCTAATCATTATCACGTGATTTACCAACGTAAAAAATTAAACATAAAACATCTTATGTAGACAAGATTCAATTTGAATCTTATTATTCTCAACATGCATGATTTCAATCTTTGTGCAAATTTTATCCGTCAAAGTGCATAATTAGTGCATTGTCAATTTTTCATCTCAACAAGGTTCGAGTTCAAAAGAAAACTCAGGTGCTGAAAGACATGCCCTACTTTAGGAGTTTGCTTATTCAAAAGGTTCGAAGGGCTTTTTCTTTGGGCGGTCGAGGTGAAAGTGAGAGATATGGAAAAGGGTCTCTCTGACTCTATCAATTGGTCAAAGACCAGCCGGATTGCACCTTGTATTCTACAAATGATTTATACAGTGTAATTTTATATATAAACTTTTTGAAAATTTAGTTTTACATATCAGACAAGTTGGAGACACGTGTCAGTTTGGCAGCTCATACGTCATAATCAGCTGCCTAATTTGCCTTGACGTCTAAATGATGCACGGCTTACATGCATGAAGGGGTTAAATCCCTTTTACTTCCTGATTCTTGGATAAAATGAATTGAAAATGATCAAATGATAATAATTAATAAGAAATATGAGAAAAGTAAAAAGAGATGTGTTAATACGCCATGCTTGACCTAATTGAGATTCAATAATTATGAGATCCATAATTAACCGTCTAATAAGGTGATTTCGCTTCGACCTCTCCATCAGCAGTCTCTGCCTTTGGATTGAAGAACCTCTGGATTTCATTGTAGATGCTTTACTTAAGGATTGTATAACCGAGCAATGATTGCTTTTCTTTTGTACTTTTTTCCCTATCAATGAAATCTTCTACCACTTTGACTTAAAAAAAAAAAAAAAAAAAAAGAAAAAGAAAAAAGGGTTCAGGAATTCGGTTGAGAAAATATTTCGAATTCGTATATGAATGGTCAGTAACTATAATTATGCCACAAGGTAATTTCTCTGCACGTATGCACATTTGTGTTTGTGTCAAAGTGTCAATGCCTTGGGGAGGAAGAACTGAAGCTAAAATATTAAGGTTTACTGAATTTACGTGACTTGAAGTCTTGGACAATTGTATAATTAATTAGTACCAAGGGCTTCGAGAGTCTTGTAAACCTTTTACTCCCTTTCATTTCATTTTATACTCTCTTTGGATTAACTTGTAAGAGAGTCCATGCCATGCAAGTCTCGGACACAAGTCATGCATCAAATGATAAAACCAGTGGAGACAAATGATTTGGTGAAAAATGTGTATAATCTCCCTCTCATCTATATGAAACAACAGTTTTGATGAATTTTTAAGTATGACAGTCACACCACCACGTAAGTTAACTAATTCAAATTTTATCGTATTAATCAATGATATAATTGATATTTCACAAACCTAAAGTATATAATATTGATAAATAAAAACATAATTAAATACATAATGTGAGTACATTCGAAAAAATATGGTATCAAGGTTACACCAAAGAAAAAAAAAAAAAGGGTGTGGTCATCTCATTAAGGCTAAACCAAGATTAAAAGTGAATCATGCATGGTGATCATGAGCTGTCCATTGATTCTGGGAAAATTATTGCATGACAAAAGTCCCCAACATATTATTGTCAATGGAAATTGATGTCGATATCTGAATTTTGGACAGTCAAATTTCCAAAGGGTTTGAAGTATAATATGCACATGGAAAGAACAGCAAAGCGACCCCACTTAAGCTAATCAATAATTAATAATCATCAGCCCCCCAAATTCTTATTGAAATTATTTTATAGTAGAAACAAATTTGTAGTCAAAAGCCTCACCACCATACGCTTTCCTTGTTGTTCTTCTTCCTCCTTCCGCCACTGCCACAACGCCCACACTACACTACCACTTCATAGGTTGTAAACTTTTAACTTGATAGGACCACTGATTTATCCAACCGGGGTCAACCGAACCGGTCCAACCCCAAGCTCATTTATGGGACCCACGTCTGCATTATCTAGTCCACGTGTCCTAGATGCTGACGCAGTTAATATTAGGTCGTAATGTTGACACTGCATGCACCACAGCAGCTAGCATACAGATATCATACAGCACTTCTGGATAGCATGGAGATGGACATGAGATAAAAGATGACAAAACCGGCACAAGAACCACGACATGATTTTTCAATAAAGCTAGGGTTTCCCCTTACGTGGTCCCCGTAACGTAATAACACTCACTGCTCAGAGGACGACACGTACTTTCCCCGTTTTGTCAAACTCGCATATTTCTATAACCTCATGCAAACTATTACTTTATTAGCACGTCAAAACGACACTCCGCCATACAGGTGGCCCAGACAGGTGTCGATCTCACGTATTCCGTCTGATCCCTCCGGCCTTGTCGCCGGAACCTTAGACTCACTGTCGGAACCAAGAAACCAAATCATTGAGCTTTTGTTTCTCTTTGATCATTGTTACTACGTGCAAGTTTCCCTTTTTGCCTTTCCTGAGTTTCCTCTTATAGCTAGATGTAAATAATATATGTTTTTGTGGCTCCATTTTTAATATATTTGTTAATTTGTGCGAAAGATTTTTCAGTATGCGTAGAATATGGACATGTCATTATACAATTGAAAACATTTGAAAAAAAAAAAAAATTATTTAATTGTATAATAACATGTGGTATTACACCTCGTATTTCAGACACACTGAAAAATCTTCATTTGTGCAAGGAAAAGAAGAAGAAAAGTTGTTTTGCTGCGACATATTTATTATAATGTCATGCTTCTTGTGAGTCTACCAACTATTATGTACTAATTAATTGATTAATTATAATCAACGGCCAGATGAAAAGATCCTATTCGATTATTGTATGTATTTGGTTTTAGTCTTCGTTGATAAACAGGCATCAATTTGTCCAAGTATTTGACGTGAATTTAGAATAAAATAAGCATATTACCAAAAATATAAAATAATACTTGATAAGATAAACTACTAATTAAGGAGATAATTATGGAAACTTTCCATTTAAAGAAGAAAAGGGACATGAAGAACTTGGAGAGATTCAGGATACAGTAAAATTACCAAAACTAATGCACTGATTCATTCTTAGCAAATTCTACACGTATCAACAGCTTGATCAATCCCAATGATCAGTAAGAAACTTACAAGTAATAGTAAATAATATCACATGAATTCATTAACACCCAAGATGTCTGGGATCCCAAACTTTAACATGTTGCTACAGTAGCTTTCACGTTCGTCCTCTGTGCCGCTGTTGAAATACGTTGTCGAATTCGAATTCAAAGTCGTCGGGCTTGAAGAAGGCGTCGAGAAAACTGAAGTGAAGCTGAAGTTCTGGTTGCTGTTGTTGGAGTGAAAATTTGAAGTCTCCGGCGAAAGGTCCAAAACAGTTTGATGCTGTTCAGACCCAAAGTATGCAAAACTTGGTAACTCAACATACTCTTCCGTAAAATTTGAAGTCCCCACATTACTTTGCCACTCATTGAGTTGAGAGTTTTGTGACCTAAAATCACTTAGGCTTGATGGGTACTCTACATTGGGCTGCTGCTGCATGAGTTGTGAAACTTCATTAGGGTATGGAACGTTGTCTTGAACTGGTTGTTGAGGTTGGATTTGGGGGTTGCAGATTTGGTGGTAATCATTTTCTTGAGCATTTTGAAGAACGAAATTTTGGTTACTATTGTTTTCTCTACGGGATTGGATTAGAGAAGTGGCTAGCCTTAGTAGCTCAGGGTTGAGTCCAATTGGTTGGCCAAGCAACCTTGAAAAGTTGTTCATTTGATGGTGGTGATGAGATGAGTTGTAGAGAATGGATGAGAAGTCGAGAAGATCAAGACGGGGACTGTGGGTGACAGGATCAATTCCCATTCGGAGAAGCCTCTTCCTAATGTGCGTGTTCCAGTAGTTCTTGATTTCGTTGTCGGTTCTTCCGGGCAAACGAGCGGCAATAGCAGACCATCTATTCATGAAAATGAATTAATTAATTGTTTTGACAAAAAAAATAAAATTAATAATCAATTGTTGAATTCTGAAGTATAGAATGCTAATTATTATGCTACTATTGAACAATGAAGTTCAAGTTTCAACATATAATATGAATAGAAAAGTAAAAAAGGAGGCTAGCTAGCTTACTTGTTGCCCAATATGCTATGGAGTTGAATAATTGTCTCCTCCTCTTCGAATGAAAACCGACCTCGTTTGATGTCCGGTCGGAGATAGTTTGTCCACCGGAGACGGCAGCTCTTCCCGCATCTTTGTAGCCCTAAACAGAATTGAAAGTAACAAAACATAGTTAAACCCCGTTACCGATTATTTGAACCATATATGTACCAAACAAGTTAATAAAATAAATAAATTAAACATGAAGCCTCGTATATACAATATATGACTAATTACCTGCATTCTTTGGGAGGGTTCTCCAGTTGCCATAACCATGTTTCTGAATATAATCCATGAGTTTCTGATCCTCCTCCGGCGTCCACGGGCCTTTCTTGAGGCCATTTTTGTCACAGCAAGGTGTTCTTCCCATGGTGTTCAAGTTTTTGTTTGAAATAGCTCTCTGGCTTTGCTTTTGAAATCCTAGTGCTCCAGTACCCACAAGCTTAAATATATACTAGCTTAAAAGTACTGTGTGCTCAACTGTCATTGAGAAACATGGGTCAAATTTATGAAGGGTTTAGTGTGAGAGAGAGAGAGAGAGAGAGAGAGAGAGAGAGAAGAATGGATCGATGCAGATTAGATCGTAGGGTCTGTATGATAGACGTTGGTGTATAAATAGGAAAGCCAGTGAAGGCAATGAAATGAAATGAAAAAAAAGGAGGAAGTCAAAAGGATTCGGTGCCGTCCTGTTTATCAACATGGGTACGTGTCCTTCTTTCAGAAGCTCAACATATTGTCATCATCAAGATTCAATAAGTTTTCAACTCCAATCCCTCTCTCTCCCTTATTAATCTGATATTTTAGTTTAGATTTGTCTGTATTTATATATGTAAAATAATTTTGTACCGACCCATCATCCATGACCATGCATAGCATGCATGATAAAATATTTTAATTAATTAATTGATGAATAATAATTCTATTTCTATTTTCAGAAAAAAAATGTTATATAAATCATATTTTTACATGACATTTATAAATCATGTAATTTCTGACTAATAAGAAATAAGTACGTTAATCAAACACTTAAGTAATGGTTTAATCATCAACAAACGCATCATATAATTATAAAATACAATTTAAGTAGATGATCCCTCTAGCGTTACAGAGATCATGTGCGATCACTTAGGTCTGTATGTTATTATTTGTAATTATTAATTTATTGGATTTTACTTCTAGGGTTATCGTTTTCCAGCGGGATTGTGTAGTGTTTCTGTGGGTCGTGGCTTTCTGCATTCATATCAGGGAAGGGGCTTTCAGCTGTCATCGACATAAGAAGATAATGCAAGTATTGGTGCCACGTACCCCTCCTCTTGTGACTTGTGAGCTGACCAATATATTGTCCTTACTGGAACTTGACATTCACGGCGTCGTGTCTTCTTTGTCCCTCCTGCATGGCTCGAGCCAAGACATATATCACGAGCCATGGAGGTAGGTATAATAAAAAATTTAAAGCTAACTCAATTATTGTGTTTAATTATATAAATTAAGACAAGACTTATTATTAGAGAAAGCAAATTGGGGCACATAGATTGGCGATGTGTGACTTAAATCGCGAGCAAGATGTTGCTTGGTTTGAAGAATCACCCGATATCATAGACTTAGGACATCTCTCGTCTGTAATTTTTTGGTGTGGGCATATTTTTCATTCGACAGGTTTAAAAGTCTTGATAAAGTTTTAACGCTGTCCCTCTATGCACCTTATTTTCTTTGTATGTGTTCTAATTCTTTACCTTCAATCAATAGCATGCTTTTGGTCGAAAATTATATAAAATTAAGATTGATTAGTACTAAGATAAGTTAAAACAACTATAAAGATTTGTGATATATATAATATAATATATTGGTATCTCTTGCATAAAATGATGTCGTGGTAATTTCGTGTAAGTAGTTAGTAGAGGGCATGGCAGATTTCAACGTTTTTGAGAAATTTGTTTCTTCTGTAAATTTGTTCTACGGACGTTGCCAACCGAGTAGGCAGTCAGTCTATGGGAGATCTTTTTTTTTTTTTTTTTTTTTCCAACGAGCAACGATAGTTTGATATTTCATTAATCATCTCAAAATAATACATAGATACCAATTGGGTGCAATAATTCAGTGACCAAGAAAATGATCTATAGTTGAATTTGCACAAACAAGACAATAATAGTATGTAAAACCCCTAAACATATACCATATGTACTAGAACTTTGCACATCACCTCTACAAATCTATCACAAAGTGATAGATATAACATATTTATATTGGCGAATTCTAAACGGTCACGACCGAATAGTGCGGCCATATAAAGTCATCATAGAAGCGAGACCACATAAAGTCATCATTAGTAGACAAGATCACATAACTCATCGCTCAAAACAAAAAACTAAATTCAGCAATCGCTGCAGTGAGGCTACAACACATACTAGGCAAGACAATAGAACTACACAAAACTAAACTAAACTACTCTAAGAAAGGAACCGCAACACGGCACAATCCGATGAACGGATAGGACAACTCAGGCAAAAACAATCACTGTGACACTGCACAAACTGGAGATTCTTTTAAATACGTGAGATTGAGGAGAAGCATTTATGTGAAGGCGGCAATAATCGAGTTTGGTGTTTGATGGAATATGGGAGCATTTATTATACACATAACAAAGGTTATCCAGATTTTAATATAATTTTGTAAAAATAACAATATTGAACAAAAAAAAGGTAGTGAGGTAGTCACATGTTGGACACTAGCTAGTTCAAAAGACAAGAAATTAAGGCCAACCCTATAAGTAGTAGATAGCACATTTTTTTAATAACTTACTGAATTACGAGTTTTGACCCTCCTTTCTTTGTTGTTTAGATGAATTAATGTAAATTATATTATTTTTTGTAAAAAAAATAAAGACAAGAAGACCAACTCACAGGAAACAATTTAAAAAAAAAAAAAAATTTGATGTTTAAGTTTGGTTGTTTGATTTTCTGGATTTACTTCACTTGGTGTACAGAGGCTGTGGCGGTGATTAAGTGATGCGATAGCCCATGTGCATCCTACTCCTTGTCCCACCATGATTTGAGATTTTGTATTAACATGATCTTTGTGTAACACGAGATTTAACGGTTTTATTGATCTGTTTAATCTTGCAATTCCCGACAAGCTTGGATGAGTGCTTGAAGTGTACTTATTGCTTTGCAATTACTGATACTTTATTGTAAGTTTTTAAATCCAATGTACAAGGATTTCTTAGGGACCGAGTTATTCATGATGTGTATTTCTAATGCCCTATATTCAACATTGTACTTTTCCTAAAAAAAAGTTTGATTTTGCAGTCTATATAAAATAAAAATAGTTTTGACTTTATCATTGCTTACCATGTTCCACTCTCACTCTCAAACATTTGGCTATCACGTCACGTAAAACGTCAAGAACTCAACTTCATTGACTTAAGGGGAACTGGTTGAGCAATAATTGTGTATGGTTTGCTTATGAAATTCCCGAATGGATTAAGAATAGTATTATTAGGCTAATTATAGAAAGTGACTATACAACCCTTATTATGTTCAGAAGATTTAACTTAAATGTTACGTTGAACCAGTTCCAATACAAATTTGTATATGTTTTACAAGGATATATATTTGTGTGACAAACCCCTCGCTAACATGACAGAGATAATTACCACTAGGTCAAGAATTAATTGACTATAAAAGTTGAATACCACGATTAGATATCAAATTTATAAAAAATATATATCATTTTCGCAATAATGTGAACTGCATAATAGAAATAATTACCACTAGATCGAAAATTAATTGAAGGCTTGCTAGCCGACATAGTTTCTTAGATTATCATAACTCTTCACTTTGGTCCCTGATTGTCCACTGTCAACCATCTTGGTCCTTTTGTGAAAGTTATCCGTTAAATTGAAGAAATCACCAGTTCAATGAAAGGTGTTGATTTAAAACAAACACCCCCAATTTAATGAAGATTTCTAAAAAAATGACCAAAAAATGATTGATGATGGATAGTCTTACGAACCACTTCTACAGATTTTAAATTTTATAGATCAAAGTGAGGAATTATATCAATCTTCAAAATCATTTTAGATAAAAAGGCTTAATTGAATATGTATAAACCACTCAAACCTATAGGTGACAATAAAATGATTATTATCTTCACTGAACCCACACTCTTTGTCTAGCTTGATTATGTATCTATCAAGAAGAAACATGATTTATATTATTTAAGAAAGGGATATCATAGGTTGACCAATCACAGCCATATATAGCAAAGGTCCCACATGAATGAATAGAAGGAGACTGAATAAAATACACAAACATTTTCGATTTTTTTTTCTTATTTAAGATGGACTGTATCACTATACCATTACTTTACAGATATCGTTCAGCACTTCAGCTAGCTCGAAGCCGTCCCTAACAGCTTGAACAAAATTCCACGTAACTCACATGCATAATCTCTATCTTTTTCTTGCCAAATATGTTAGGTTAAATAACATAACAATATAGATATATATATATATATATATATATATATAGAGATAGAGAGAGAGAGAGAGAGAGAGAGAGGTCGATAAAAAATAAAATGCATGCATGACGATCTCTGGTGTACGAATCTGGGGACTTTGAGTAGTTTAATCATCCTATAGATTACGTGGAATGAAACTGGAAACTTTGCTTGTTACGTGTCTTAGCGCAAGACGTTAGTTCCTAACAACAAAACATAACAGGTCTCTCCTTTTATGACGTATAAAAGTCTAATCTGTACTTTATTAAATTTAATTTCTCTGTTAAGTTTAATACATTATTTAATAGCTTAATCGGGGAATCGATGAATGTGTTTATGCGATGAGCTAGGGTTTCTTCTGTTAAACTTCCTTAATAAGCCATCTGTTAATCTGGAAGCATTTGGGTCATCCAACCAGCAGTTCTACTGCCACCGCATTTAGTCAACTTAAAAAACCCATTAAACTAATCTTGAGTTTTTAAACTTCTGCTATTACAAATTAACTTTTAATTGGACATATGTCTACTGGATCCTTACTGTTCACTTCTTATTGGTTTCAATGCTTTAGGGATAATGTTAGGAAGACCAATTTTTTAGACCAAATTTATAAATTATATGACGTGATTGTTGATTTTATAAATCATATGATGTAGTTGTTGAGAATTGAATTATTACTTAAATGTTGATTAACTTGCTTATTTTGTATTGATGACATATTATATGGTTTACAAATTTAATTTAAAAAGTTAATTTATTTAGCACTAACTCTAGTTTAAATTAAGAGTAATGCTAGGTAGATCAAAATTTTAAGCCTAATTTGCAAACGATGTGATGTGTCACTAATAAGAATTAAGCATGTCAATCAACACTTGAGTAATAATTCAATCGTTGACAACCACATAATATAATTGATAAAATTTTGATCTAAATAGTTAGTCTCCTTAGCATTACTCTTGAATTAAACTAAAATACTGTTCATGTCGTTAAAAAACCATCTCTTATTCACCCTTGTATCTTAGGATATAGGAACCATGTACGGTCAAATATTATTTTAGTCGTCTACTAAGGTCTGCACTTTAATCTTTTCAAGGAAACGCTTATAATCTCCAAGCCAATCACACACCTTTGCTTGCATGCCCTTCTTACCCATTATTTTTTTATTGTACGTTTGTGTTATTTTCAAACCCCAAATGTAGCTAGATTTATACTCAATTTATATAGTAGTCATCCAAAGGACAAGAGAGATGTCGATTGTAACCGTGGTAGGTCTACTCCTCTATTTAAAGGGTGATACAAATATATATATGCTGGGTAGATATGAAGAATAGTTGGATTAAGACTTAGTCTATGTGGAAACAACAGGTGAAAAACGAACTAGTGTGGGTATATGTAATTAAGTAGAGCATTACAAAGTAACTGGATGCATGGAGCTTAAGCTTAGTATTGGTGAGAGATTCATCATCACCTTATGTTGAAGTTAAATTTAGCACATCCTAAATTCTTAGATTAATAAAAAAAAAATAATGCTAAGGAGACCAAATTTCTAAATCAAATTTTATAAACCAAATGACATGAAAGTTGATGATTGGATTATTACTTAAGTTTTGAATACCATGCTTATTTTTTTATTGGTGACACATCATTTGGTTTGCAAATTTAGTCTACAAATTTGATCTACATAGCATTACTCTTTGTTAATAAGATCTCATCCCAAACGGGCGGGTGACAAAACTCACCTTCAAAGTTCTAAAAGGCGCTAGGCGCTAGTTGAGCAGTGGGCAGGGACCTGGTGCCTAGGTGTCTAGGGGGGGCCTTGACGGTTTTTTTTTAATCTTAACTAAATTTTATTATATAACATATAGTTATACTCTAAAAAAATACATAATTGTATTAAGATACATAAATTGCAAACTAAAATGACATATAGATTATAAAGTATTAACATACTAAAAACATGGAAACCTAGGCGGTTCTCGGTAGGTGCCTAGGTGGGTTTAGGCAGACGACTAGGCGGGTCTAGACGTCATTTCTTAATTTTCAAACTTTTAGGATTAATCGGGACGATGGCCAACCGCCTAGGCTAGACAGAGATTTTAGAACAGTGCTCACCTTCAAACATTAAAACAGTGAGTGAAAAATGGATTAGAATTTAACTAGGTCAAATGTTTGATTCTTTTGTATTGAAACAAAGAAAACAAGACTATGGTAGTTTGCGATAAACATACGCAACTGTAGACTCAGCATAGTTTGAGGTTAAACTGTCTCCATGTTTGGCGTCACGGAGACAACACCAAGTAATTAAGTACTCAAAGTTGCCTAATTATTATGACTAATTGTTGATCACTACTCCAGCATCAGTACTTAAAATACTAAGCTCTGATGCTTACATATAGAATAATACCAAAACCTGTAATTGGTGGTCTAAAATCTTAGGGTTTTGCTTTGTACAATCATGTAACCCAAGGTAGTTGCCAATACGTGTAATGTTGACTGGATCCCCAAAATACAGAAATCTGGTAGAAATTTTTTTTTCAAATAGTTGTACAACAAACGTTGAATAATGATTAACGAGTAATTAATTATTTGCTGCCATGCAATTTCGTGGACAGAGTTCGTATAAATTAAAGTATCCTGAGATACGAGATCCCAAGCGTTGCACTGTCACTGTTACTACTAATAAAGCTACATATAAAATATGAACGATTAGGATACAATATTATCTCTCACCTTTTCTTTTCTTCCTTACAAAGTGAGAGATAACATTATCAGTGTTTTTTTTCCTTATTTACCACAATCATAATCAGTTTTTTTTTTTTTCTCGAAAATCATTATCAGTGTTTAAAATAATCGATACTAGTAGAAATATCGATATGTAAATTTGTGAAAATATTGATGGATATCTATTTCATTCAATGGAAATGATAGAAGTTGCTAAAAAACATGAAAATCCAAAATGAAACTTTAGGGAAGGTATATGACAGTTTGTCAATATTTAACCGAGATATCTTAATATCGACGAAATTTGTCGATTTTGGGTGAAATTTTAGAGTTTCTCCATTAGGGGCTCCTTTCCATATCTTTCTCCAATTCTTCTGATATTTCTACGGAAATATCGATCTTATAAAAAAAAATTTAAAACACAACAAAAGATCAAACTCATTACAATTATTATACATTGTTACTGTTGTTTTTATGAGTTCAATTTGAGACGTTCCCCAGTTAAGTCGAGGCTAGTTAGTAAAATATCCAAAATTTTTAAATTTCTTTCTTCTTATATTTACATATGTGTTTTGTTTCTTTATTAGTACGTAGTCCCTCTTCTTCTTCTTTTGGACAGTAGTACGTAGTCCCTCTTCAATCGAGAGGATTCAAGAGGTTTCTGTAGAAAGGGATTCATTAAATCGGAGCTAGATTGGTGTTCAACGTAAGCAATCTGTGGGGACACGTAGGGCATGTTGATGGGTTGATGGAGGCCTCTGGAAAGGATTTGGATCCTCGCCAGATCTCCTTTCTGGGGATCTTAGGGATCAACGAACACGGACCATTGATCAAAAGTGGTGCGGTCCCAATTAAATGTTTTTTATATTTTTAAAAGTAAATCACCGTTGTTTTGCGTAAAAAATATAAAAAAGGAAAAAATTGTGACCGCACTATTTTTGATCAACGGTCCGTGTTCGTTGATCCCTAGGATCCCTAAGGAGGGGATCATGTATGGAGAGATTTTTCAGTGTGACCGGCACATGAGGTAGTACACCACATGTCATTATACAAATGGTGGGATATGTGTGTTAAAAAGTTAATAACTTAAAAAATAAAATTTCCCACCATTTACAACAAAACACGTGGTGTACCACCTGTGTTCCGGTCATAATAAAAAAATTCTCCCATGTATGAGTATTGATCTTCACTTGTGTGGAATTGGATCCGCTCTAGACCTTAGTGTTCAAAGTCTAGGGATCAATTCATCTGGGCCGCACAAATTGAATCCAATGGTCTCCATTAACTTGTTATCTTGGCCCGCCACACAAAACTAACGGCTCTGATTTCTTTTACACACCAATCAACGACTCAGATGATTTGATCCCTAGGCTCCGGACACTAAGGTCCGGAGTGGATCCAATTCCCACTTTTGTGACTTTCTATGTTCATGAACCAATGGTCTCACGACATGTTGATATGCTACATTTGAATTCATCCACAAGAGCTTTGAGAAATCAGTTGTTCAAGAAATATTTCAATTTACTAGAACACATACCAGTACACTAAATATCGTAATATTAATAGTTGGAATTTTATATTATTTTTGAAGATAATTGGAGTAATGGTTTTTCAGCTTTAGCTCAATTAGAGCTTTAGTCCCTAGACTAAAAATTTGTGATATTGGTCCCTAACTTGTAATAATGTGGAGCAATGGTTCTCTTGGCTCCATTAGGACTTCCATCCATATTTTGCCCATTTAAACCCTTTATTGTAGATGGAGGTTCTTACAAAGTTAGCGAAAATAACCATTAATTTACAATATAACAAGTTCATGGACTAATACTCACAGATTTTTAGTACAAGGACCAAAGCTCCAATTAGCCCAAAGTTCAGGGACTATTGCTTTACCGATCTTTTTTTAATTATTACCACTTATATTATGATACTTGATGTACTGGCCAGGTTCTCGGCACACTTAAAAATTTCTCAAACTAGAGCCATAAATCAGTACAATGTTAATTGATGTAGAATTGACTGTAAAATAATCAGTAACAAATCAACAACTGAGTCAACTGACGCTATCATTTAGTAATCAAGAATAAAACGTAGTTAAAAAGTGGTGCAAAGTCAGAAAAACAGTTCACGTGCGAGCATACCAAAGACACTCCAATAAATTAGAACAGTTCAGTCAAAGTTTGGTTATTACATTGCCTCGTTAAGAATCTGGTATCCCATACAATGTGTATGAAGAATCAATATATCATATGAAATTCCAAAGAATGATTTTCATTCCCATTTTTTAAACAAATTATTACAAACGTATATTGAAACAACAAAGAAATACCGACGGTGAAATAATGATCACCGGGAAACAGTTGACGAACTGGAAGACATCATCTCTAAAAGCCGGTTATGCAAGGTGCCATTAGAAGCAATGATTCCACCGGAAGGGTATATATTCCTCCGTCCAACTTCATCTGCTGCTAGATTAAGTTCATCTCCCTTCCAGTCAGTCACCTGTTTTTACACGAGAAATTTTTTAAAACGGAACAAGTTTGTCATTCCATGTATATAGAGCACTCAAAAAAGAAGTTGCACAAGTTCTATAAGAAAAGCTCGTCTGCAATTTTTATCGTTTTCTGTTTCTAAATTTCCGTTAGTTAATCTCATTGCAGTTTTGTATCAATCCAACTGTAGAGCTTTGCAACAAATTCATGCTTGAGAAAGAGCCATAGAAGAATATACCTTTCCCCCTGCTTCGTGCACACATATAATACCAACAACGTGATCCCAAGCCTATAAATTGTGACGCGTTGAAGTTAGTCATACTGGTGTAGTTTCTATAGTCTATTGACAACTGGAATGCAATGCAATACCTTGGTAACTCTGTGAACTTTCATACGCTGCATATGAAGAGATACCACGCCCGAAGCCACCATCATATACTTGGATAAACTGCAGGCCGAAAAGAAGAAAGGTATAAATCCAGTTAAGTATTGACGAAGAAGATTAACATGATTCGTAATAGAAATATTTGCAAAATAGGGACCGTTAACTTTATTCTAATGCGTCAAGCTACACAACATAAAAAGAAACTTTGTCTATTGCAAACTTGAGAATCCAGGACTATCCTAGGAAAGAGTTGCATTTAGTGATAAAGTCGTGAAAACTCTACATTCTGTAAAAACTATGTCAAGCTATCTGAAAGGTTCTACTTTTTAGGAGCAGCTGTCTACTAGGCAAACAACAAACCTTCCACAACAAGATTTTACAAGAAGAATTTCTCCCTCGTCAATGCTGTCAGCATTAGTTGATCTGAATAAAGATGATAGCGGAAATGACTCCCATACATCACTATCTGGGATAGAAAATCGTGCCTCTTCCACAATACAAGACCCATCAACAAAGCATTGAGTCCAAGAATAAGGCATTTTGGCTGTGGAATTTAGTACAGATGATAAACGTTTTGTCCATGTTCCACAGCCTGTATGAGCAACCATAATAATCCCTGATCCAGGTGGAGTGATATTTTCTTCCTGTACTTCAGAGGTGGATTTGTTGGATATATCATTCTTCCAGTTTGGGCACCCCATGACACCCAACACAAGCTCCCCGTCAACAACAAGTGCCAAGCCAACCTGAAAATTTGAGCCATTTAATAGGCAACTCTTATAGTAGAAAGCAATTCAGTAAAACAGGAACGAATATCTAGAAAAAACATAGCTTGAATCATTTCTTTCCGCAACACATGAAAGTGCTCTTACCATGTTCATTTAACACCGTAGGCCTGCCTTTGTTAGATAAGAAAGCAACATAACAACCAGAGTTACTTGAAAGGATATCCTTTAACATTGCTTTTCAATCTGACCACTAAGATATTAAGTAATCTCAGAGTCCTCCACCATATGAAAACTAGAATTAAATAGATTTCTAAGAAGATAACTGGGTATAATATATCTGAAGTTCCTATTTAATTGGGTTAAGGTTCCCTCTTTTTATCTTTGCTTCTTAGTTGGTACTTGCGTAGTGTAGATTTTGCGTCTTGTGCATATATCTGATTCTATTCACAACCAAAATACACAATTTTCTGTCGATTTCTTGCATTCTCTTTGGAAGCACAAACTGTTGAGTAAGTATAATTTCAGTAGTGTCGACTTAACAGCACTTGACAAGCTTAGATATAAATATGGTAATCGGCATCATTTAACATCACACATGACACAATTATATAACTACGACTTGACGACCGATGAACACAAATTTACCGTAAAACATCCATGCTGTATTCCATAGCAAAGTCAACTACAGGTGCCAGCATATTCAAAACTTACTGTAATGACCAAATATCCGAAAAGCGAAAGATAGAAACTCAATGCAACTTTTTCTAAGTTAGTAAGACATACCACATATAACGCCGGATTTCCCTTCACGAATCCTTTTGTGCCATCAATGGGGTCAAGTACCTGCATTACATTTCTCAATTCAGTACAATGCAGCAAAGTAAAAATCCAACTGCGAGCACCATGAATTAAAGCATGATAACCAAATAGCAAAAGGGTCACATACAAAGCTGCACATCTTGGTAACGTTTAATTCAATCATACAATGCAAATGCAAATCCGAAAACGAACCCAATAAGTGGCGGGCTGAGCTCCGAAAGCAAAACCCTCCGGACCACCTCTGTCAATGGCTTCCAATACTTCATCAGCCGTCCATGGGTTCTCTCCACAACTAGATTTGTCAAGCACCGCATTGAGCACTGGCTCCACCAGTTTTTTCGAACGAACAAACGCCGAGTCCTCTTCCGCCACGAATGGAATCAAAGGGAATCGTTTCCCAAGTTCTGCAACCACCACAAGGTCCACACCAGCTCCATTTATAGAACTCCAAAACTAAATACAAATAATAAAAGGACTTGCTTTAAAAAAATAGAATTAAAGGACCAATTAGCAATTTTACCCAAACTGACGAGAGCCTGGACTCCAAAATCCGCCACCGTCACCGGAGTCTGGTCGGTCTTTTCAACGACCCGCCGTTGAAGCACCGACGACTGGATGTCAACGCAGAGCGCGCAAGCTCTCTCCACGGCATCGACGGCAGCTTCCAGCTCTCGATAGTAGTTGGCCTTTTCGGTTCCGAACGGCAAACTCGACCTCACGCGGAAGCGCCGCCGGCGAAGTGCCGAATCGGGCCGAGTGAATCGGACGGTCGAAAAATGGCGGGCTGACTGCACAAAAATCATGGCGAATTTTAACGGCCGGCTGTAAATGAGTCGTTGAAAACTCGTTGGTGGAGACTGCATTGAGACAGTGGGCTAGAAATTGGGCCTTGTAAGTTCTGTTTTTGTAAAAAATATTGGGCCGAGCTGAAATTTCATAGGCCCAAAATCTTATGTTATGCAGCCCAGCCCAATTATGAGACAACAAAGTTTGGTAAGATCCGGAAGACAAACATGCGATAATCCTACGTAGATATTCTTGTCCTTATCCAAAACATTTGGGCTCATCCACAGACACGTGTCCGTCGCACAACGAATCAGGCCCAGCGACCCCCAATTTTCCATCGCAAAGTCCGCTGTGATAGGGACATCGCAGCCGTTTGCTGGCCAAATCTTAGCGGTCAACAAACCACAGATTTCCAAAACCCGGGATTCATCTTCTACTTTCTCTCTCTATAAATGCAAGTAAATTATTGATCTCCCTGTTAATTTGATTTGCAACTACAGCCCTTTTGATCTACTGAAATATTTGTGATCTGGGTTATGAGCTTGAGGTACGCGAGCAGAGTGGTGCACCAGGCAGCTCTGAGGGCGATGCAGGGGATCAAAGACCAGGCTCCGAAGTGTGGCGATTCGACCGTTAAGTCCGCGAGGGATTCGAACCAGGCGTGGCGGTTATCGGCGTCGCTGGATTTGGGTGGCGGTTTGAAGGGGGCCGGAAAGAGTAGTGAGAGGGTTAAGGAAGCGGAGGAGTCGCTCAGGACAGTGATGTTCTTGAGCTGTTGGGCTCCCAATTGATGATCTCTGCATGCGTTTTTATTTTTGTAAAATTTTTTAGAGGCGAAATGTGTGAGTTGATTTTGTGTAGGTTATACAGAGGTGTGTGTATGCATGATGTATGTATGTTATGTATGTCATAATGTTAATGTATGTACATGAATTCTTTGGATCCAGTGCTTGAATTATTTTTTTTCTGGATTTGTATATAGATCTTACTTTTGTATAGTAGCACCTAATGATTTTAGAATTTAAAAATATTTTTTAAATGCTTTTAATTACACTTTAAAAGTATTTCTAAACCAGCGATCAATATATACATGAAAAATAATCCTGTATCTCATTTAATTTTAATCCAATTGCTTCCATCCCAATGAATGACATGGACGAAAAGTTCATATATTTCATTGGGGAGGTGAGAAGTGGTTTTCATACATTTTTTTTAGTTCTTTGCGTTAAGAAATATCTGTGAAAATTAGTTTCCATTTGATTAACTTTGGCCTCGTTTACTCTCTAAAATTGGATCATATTTAAGGTATAAGCTACAATAAATGTAGAATCTAATGATTTTTGACAAATTAATCATTCTAATCGTATCATTTGAGTTTGTAAGAATAAAAGGTGGTGCTGCTGCTATCCATAAATTTATTTTTACCTCTCACACATCTTATTAATTTATTCTCATCGAATCTCATGAATTGAAAAAAATTAATAAACAAGAGTTAAAGCAAAAATCTGTGTACGCCAAAAACGATGGGCTAATTTATAAAAGGGAGATGTCAATTATGTTCACTTTGACCCAGTCCAAACCTATAGTCCATTCGTGCCACATGATCCAGTTAAGCTCAATCTACCTGGCAATCTAGCAATCCAAATCCCAAAATCTCTCTCTCTCTCTCTCTCTCTCTCTCTCTCTCTCTTCAGCCTCCACCACAAATAATAAACCTTGACAACAAAACCGATAAGCTTTTTCTTCTTCTCTCTCGTTTGCCACTGCAACCACATTTACTCTTAGTCGGAAACATGTTCTCAGTGAAGCCTTGTAATAGCCGTTGCAACTCACCATTCCTCTCCGACTCACGTCGTCTTCAAAACCTAGCAAAACCGCAAAGTACCGTTTTCGCCCCATGCAGGGTATTGTCTCCTCATGAAAGAAGACTTGGCGTGAGGGCAAGTAGTGGAAAAGGAGAAGCAGAGAAGAAAGAAAGACGACCTTTCTTAACCCTAGAAGAAGCTGGTCTGGTAGAAATCTCCGGTCTCAGCACTCACGAAAGATTTCTATGTCGTTTAACGGTACTATTTTCTTTTGTTACATTTTCCACTTCTTTATGTTCCGCAACGATTTTCACATTTCACTTTGATAAATCTGTACGTTAAATTTAACGTTTTAAAAGTTTATGGTCAAATCTCGTAGATAACAAGTTTGATTGTGCGCGTAGATATCGTCGTTGAATTTGCTGAGAGTGATATCAGAACAAGAAGGATGCGAAATTGAGGAGCTAAATGCTGGGAAGGTATGTGACTGGTTTGTGAAGGATAAGTTGAAAAGAGAGCAGAACTTGGACTCTGCTGTCCTCCAGTGGGATGATTCTGAGCTATTTTAATTATTTGATTAACTTGTAAGATGGTATATTTATAATATTTGATACCATGAGCCAAAGATTTTGTGAAACGACATTCAGTTTTTGATTCAACTCTTTCGACTGAATTAGGGGTGGGATATTGTAGAATCATGACTCATTGTATTGATGTGCGAAAAAATATTACAATATAGGTCGAGTTATATTAACCCCTATTTTGGTATAACCTTACACTAGTAACAATTGGAAACTACATTTAAATATTGCATGTTATAATCGTAGAGATGATTCTGGATTAATTAAGTCTAATCTTACACACACCCCAATGGACGAGTTGGATTGGACTTTGGAACAAAGGAGCCCATGACAAGGCCAATAAGGAGCATTAGTGAGCAACATTTTCAAGGACAACGTGATAATCGAGATTGATGTGACGTTTACGAGTATGATGAACTGGATTAGCATCATGATTAGTGGCACTCAAATTATCACAATATCATTAGATAGGAGTATACAAGAGAACACCAAGCTCATCAAGAAGGAAGCAAACCCAAGTGGTCTCTAGCACACCTATGAGCAAGGAAGCGATACTCAAACTCAACACTAGAGCGAGAACGGTTCTAAACTACAATTGATTTGGCTTCGTTCAATTTTATTTTTATGCAAACGACTAAAACAAACCGAACTATATCATATATAATGCTTTTGTCACGCTTTGGACATTGGGGAGCAAAATGTATTTAGCTTATTTTGATACCATAGAATCAATCACGGTTTTTGTTTTAGTTATATTTTTAATGAGTTGTGCTATCTACATTTTTTTATATCGTCCGCACATTATTTTTAATTTCCAGCTTTCAGATTAAATTTGAATAATGCATTGTTCAACGCGTATTTGGTATGGAATGTATCACCTTTGAGTCTTATATTATTATTTGTTTTGGGATTGAGTGGGTGGAATGTTACTGCTAATGCATTGCATTCTATGTGTTTTAATTGGACACGTCTCGCCTCCGATTTGGCCTTGATTGACCGCAATCTTAGTACAAAATAAATAAAATTACTAAAAAATAGAAAAATTAATCATATATTCAGAGTCCAAATTATTGTTATGTCTTCTTAGAAGAAAATAGTGAAAATTGTTTTGATTTGGGAGAACAACTTGTATAGTACTGGTAGTACAAATAAATATTTTTCTATAATTTGCATGGAGCATAACGTAGTAGTGTATACTTGTTATACAAATTATGCTTATAACATGGCTAGGTGAAGGTGATCGCATCACGATAGTTTTACTCATGTTCACAACCCATATTGGATTTAACTATGCATTCAAGAATTTTGTTAAACAACTAAGAATTCGATGAATACAACAATTCCACTAAGAGAGTCACAAGATGAGGTTTTTTAGTGAGGCAGGTCGATCATGTTCTTCGTATGATAACTCACAAGACAATATAGCACGGATAAAATGATTTAGCGATAATCATTACTGTAACGGCGTCTCAAATCTGAAATTAACAACCGTAATTACATGACATTAGGTTTGTCTCCACTCAGCACCTAGTTTACACAAAGTCAACTCAACAACCATTCACGTCAACCCATTGGTTCCCTCTCGCACAAAGCTAAAAAGCATTCTATGCTGTGTGCGACGTCGTTTTAATCGCGTTGAAGTAGAAAAAGTACCGGAGGAGGAGGAGGGGGAGGAAGGACGCCACAAAGGTAAGCACAAAAAGGTTGGACGTGAACTCAATCGGTCAAATCCAATTGAATCCTCTGCGTCGGTTCCGATTTGCTGCGCCGAGACTTACAGACAAACGACGCCGTTTCGCCTCTGTCTAATGCTCTGAGAGATGGCCGTCCCTGACCAAAAGTCGTCGTCTTCGTCCAACGGAAAAGTCTGGGGCTTCTTCAAGCGGCCGTTTCGGACGTCGAGGAACGCCGCCGTTATTACGTCGTCCTCGTCGTCGCACAACGCTCCCCACCAGCATAGTAACGCTCACGGCGACGGATCGAATCCAAACGCCGCGAATTCGGTGTCGTCCGTCGCCAGGTCGCTGCTTCCGACTCGCCGAAGACTCAAGCTCGATCCCCACAATAAACTCTATTTTCCTTGTACGTCTCTGTCTAATTATCCATTTTATTGATTTAATTTAATTAGTTTTATTCTATATTTGGTATTTTATGATTTAATTGCGTTTACCTGAAATAGCTGTGTGTAGATTGTGATTTATAGATTTGCTTTTGAATTTTAGATTTTGTTGCCGATTTTAGGATCAAGGAAACTGTAAAAATGCATTTGCAAGTTGCAATTCGTGTTATGATGCTAATCACGTCGGTAATCGGGTGATTAATATTGTTTTTATGGATGAAATCGATGATTTTCGTGATGGTGTCGGGATTTTTCGAATGAGTTAGTGGCTATAGAGGGAAATCAAATTGGTTTGCTGATTTATTTCGGTACTGGGTTTGTTGCTTGATGATTTATTTGCTTATTTATGTGTATGGACTCTGTTTCTTGAAGGTGAACCCGGGAAGCAGGTTAGGAGTGCCATTAGAATTAAAAACACCAGCAAGTCCTTTGTAGCATTCAAGGTACCGTCTCATGTTTACGGTTTTATTTCTGTTCTGTGGTTTTTCGGAATTTTTGTAATTTGAGAATGTTTGGTGAAGGATAATGTGGTTGACGTTGTTAGAGTTTCTTATCTTGATTGATTTTTTCTAACTAGTTTTCTTGCTTCAGTTCCAAACAACTGCACCGAAAAGTTGTTTCATGCGTCCTCCAGGAGCCATTCTTAGTCCTGGCGAGAGTCTTATAGCGACTGGTAATGGTTTCTGTATAACTTTGTGCGATTCAGTTCATTTCCCTTTATTTTATAGTGTTGGAAATGGTATTGCCCTTTTGTACGGTCTTCTGTTCTTCGTTAATGGAATTATGTCTCTTATAAAATTAGAAGTACCATCGTTTTTATTTGGATGGTTTCTTCTCAAGCTTTAACTTGTTTTGGCCTTTTAACAAGTTTTTTTGTTATTTTGGTTTGTTACGGTAGTATTCAAGTTTGTTGAGGTTCCCGAGAACAATGAAAAACTAGTGGATCAAAAGAGCAGAGTTAAGTTTAAAATCATGAGCTTGAAGGTGAAGGGACCAATGGAGTATGTACCTGAGCTGGTACGTAAATAGCACGCAACCTTTAAATGCTATCTCGAGTTATAAATTTCTAATTTAGTAGCTGGTCTTATAAATGTGTTCACTGGTAAATTTCTTGGTAACAGTTTGATGAGCAAAAGGAGCAAGTGGCCGTAGAGCAGATACTACGGGTTGTCTTTCTAGATCCAGAGCGTTCTACTCCTGTAAGTGTGGTTGACATGAAAGTAACTTGAGGTCAATATTTGTGTTTGTAAATGTATATCACAGACCTGCATTGCTTTCTCTTCACATTTATGTCAAGAGATTAATATTTTTTGTTTCTTCGAAGGCTATGGAAAAACTGAAGCGTCAGTTAGCTGATGCTGATGCTGCGCTTGAGGCGAGCAAGCAACCTGCGGAAGATGCTGGTCCAAAGATTATCGGAGAAGGACTTGTCATAGATGAATGGGTGAGTACATTGTTGTGTTGTCACACGAAAATTGCTTGTGCGGCGAATACCTTCTCATGCGCTTCATTCATTTTCGCCCTTTGTTTCTTGTTTAGAAGGAGAGGAGGGAAAGATATCTTGCTCGGCAGCAAGGTGAAGGCGTGGACTCTGCATGAGCATTTGTTTCGCGCGGCTTTTTCTGATGTGAGTGCGAATCAACAGTCTACTTCGGTGTATCATTTGTAACCATCGTTTATTTTTATATTTCGGTCATGTGAAGAACGTTGTATTGAAAATGAAAAGAAAAAAAAAAAAAGGACGAGGACGAGGACAGTCCAATGTTATATACATTGATGTAAAAAGAAAACATCTTGAAGTGGTCTCTTGTAATTTTCGCGAAATATTTTCAGCATTGATTTTCGCAAAATGTTTTACGTGAGCATTCAGGAATAATTTGCGAAAAAAATATAAAAAATACAATTTGAAGTGGAGTCTCTTACAATTCTTGTGAAAGATTTACTTATAAATCTCTCGAAGGCGTGGTACAAGTAGTTGAGATTACTCATGGTAACACTGATTTACCAAAAACAAGATACATTTGGTAGCGCTATACGTTTGGCCGCACTATACGTTTATGGCGAAGAAGCTTTGAAGACTGTCAAATTCATAAAATAACAGGGTAGTGTTAATCACGTTCATTTTTACATTTTACTCACCCTTCTCAATTTTTCGGCCGTCAGACCGAATGAATTGAATAAGACTAATAACAAAAAATTAACAAGGTGTGTCGGAGTTAAAAATATGTATGTGAAAAGCGCTATGCTAAAAACCAGAAAGGAGGATTCTTTACCCTCCTATTCTCATCTTCTTCCATCCCCTCCTCTCACACATTGTTTTTTGTCTTATTATCTCTATTAAAAAAAAAAAATCAATATAAGATGTTGACGTGACTTAACCATGACCGTTCAAATAAGACAAAAACAAGACATCAATGGCCACTGGTAACAATAGAAACCACGGCTTCCTACAAATGGTTTTTAATTGTCTAGGGTTATCCAAAACCACCAAGCCCCATTCCTTCCAATACGGTGTGCCAAGCTCCCTCTATATAATCTCACTACTTTAGTACATACCCAGTTCCAACCAACAAAAAAAGAAGGATAAACAATCGAGTTCGTTGAATGAGCAAATACATCATGAGTTATCGGTTAGACATGAGCGCATGCACTGTGGGAGGCTGTTGTGAAATAGAAGTGCCACTAAGCCGTAACGCCAAGAGCAAGCACGAGCAGATCAGTCGAAAGTTCTTGTCATCGTGCAATAGTAATCCGGCGAGTGGAGGTGGTGAAACTGGATGTGGTACAAGAACGCAGGCCCAGGCTGAAGAGTCCCTTCGCAAAGTCATGTACTTAAATTGTTGGGCACAAATCTAACAACTTTGGACTTGGACAGGAAAAATCGTATCAGAAAGTTCGATTATATTGTACCATTTACATATATATACTTTAACTATTTTGTTATGCAAAAATACTATCCTTACCATATTTTTTGTATTACATTTTGTATTATTTTTCTAATAAGATAAAACTCACATGCGCACGTCTCAAACAGAAGGTGGGTTATGTCACATGCTAACCGGTTGAATTCAAATAAAATGTTTACTAACTGTCAGAAATTGGAATGGGAATGCTATTAACATTCTAAAAATCTCATTTTACACTTCTCACAAATGTATTTTCTTTCTAAATATAAAAAGTTTGGAGTGTAAAATGAGATTTTTCCCATTGGAATACTAATTAGTTTAATTACTTAAGTACCCCTGTACAAATTCAACTTTACTTTTAATCATTAAAAAATTGCAAGGATAATTTTGGTAGAAAAAGTTATGCTGATTCATTTTCCTAGCCCTTCCTCCTGTAAGTAAATTAAGTAATCACATTCCTTACAAATCTTAATGGAAATCCATTAGCCTACCAAGGGTGAGATTGGGTCAGCTGTGCTTTTAGCCTGGATGCAAAATTTAATGGGAAGAGGCCAGAATTTACAACTTTTTTTAAAGTACTTTTAAAATAACTAAAAACGTTTTTTGGTGAAATTAAAATTTGGATCCCAAAAGCATCTTAAGTGCTTTTTAGAAGAAGTATTGAAACTACTTTTTCAAAAAACACTTGGATTTTTACCAAGAATTAGTTTAAAAAACATTTTCAATTATTAAAAAAACACTTTCAAAAGAGCCTTACATCTCCTAAAAGCAAAAAACCTTTGAGAATTTCTTCTTCTACAAAAGTGCTTTTGAAACAAGGATTATAGTTAGCATATGATACCCAAGTTTCTATCCAATTCTATCCAAAAACATATCCATTTAAAAATCCGAGTCATGCGATTCTTCTTTTTATTCATCGCAAGGCCGTGACCAAATTGACAAACACCTCCTACACACCTCTCCTTTTGTTGCTACAAGATTTTGGCATGTGACATGTAATTCGTACAAGATTTATCCGTTTGGATTCACGTTCAAGCTTTGTGAAAATACCGAAAGTTTCTTGCAATCCCATCATTACACTGCAGAAAGAAAGAAAAATGGTAACACTAAAACCATGTGTGCGGCATTTGATTCCCACCCCCAACCCCCCACTTGAAATAAAGTTATGAGAGTGATGGCAACTTCATTTGGTTGTTGAATTCAGCTCCCCTGCCATCCCATAAACGTCCTTCTCATTTTACACACAAATGATTGTTGGGGTGAGCTCAAGCCAACAGGTTTCGCCCCTTGCGAGGATCGGGAGGAGAACGTCTATCGTACACAGTCTTATTCTTACTTTGCAAAGAGATTGTTTTTAGAACTCGAACTCATGACCTTTTGGTCACAAATGAGCAACATTTATGTTACGCTAAGACTCACTATAAGAGTTGTTACTTAGGTCATTTAAAACATTTATACAAGCAATTACTTACAAAGTCATTTTCCAAAACACGAGAAAAACTCTCATGTCACATTTTCATTAATTTATAGTATTGAGAACTATATGCAACTACTATATTAAATGGAGAAAACTCCTTATTACTCGAAATTTTAAAATCTCAAGTTCAACTTGCAAATAAAAGTTCTCAGGTTAACTTTTATCGTCAGCAAGTTCAATCCTATGATTAGTTTGTTGTGCAACTTAGCTTAAATTCCGACCAATCTATCAAAAATTAAAAATAAAATAAATAAATCTTACTCAAGATGGTCCCAACCACCAATCCAAAAAATGAAAAAGCAAAAGAGATGGGAGGTTGGTTATAGTCGTGTACTCGTCTTGCGTCTCAAGTGACCTTATATTTGAATGAAAAAATTAAGTTCAAATTTTATTTTTCATTGTTTAAAACTTTAAATGATTGAATAAAAGGAATTTATAGGAAAAATAAAATTGGACATAAATGGACAACAATTATATATTAACCTTGCCAATGGGAACAATAATATTCAGTGCTACCAAAAATAAAACTTGAAATTAAATGAGGCATATTTGCCCATAACTTAAATTACACAGTTTTGACAGTTTGAGCTGCCTTGCCCATCTCATAACCTCCTCCATCTTCCTCGCTGACGAATCTCTTCCAGTACCAATGTGTCCTCCATACTTGTCCCATCTCTTCGATCGGAATCCCCTTCGTCTCCGGCAAGAAGTAGTAGACGAAGATTGACATCACAAACACAAAGAACGCAAAGAAAAGGAAGAGCCCGAACTTCAAGTGGCAGAGCATTGTCAAGAAGATTTGAGCCACGATGAAGGTGAAGATCATGTTGACCGAAACGTTGACGCTCTGCGCGGCTGATCGGATTTCCAACGGGAAGATTTCACTGGGGACTAGCCATCCGAGGGGACCCCACGACCACGCGAATCCTGCAACATATGTGCAGATGAACATCACCACCACAATTGCATACCACTTTGGCAGTTCTCCAGGGTTCCCATCCACTCCAAACTTTGCTGCAATACAAGCTGTCACAACTGCCTGCAATTTGATAAACAACATTGATTAAATCATCAGAAATTCTCTATGCATGACGTCCATTTGCTAACGAGGGGACTGATATGTATCATTCAAATGTGTTGATAACATGTCAAAATACGTTTTGTTAGTGACTATGATATCGATGCATTGCCAATGACATATTGACAATCCGATGTTTAATAAAAAAAGGGGAGTTCGTTCCATAGCGGAAGTAATTAAAATAGTACCTGGCAAATCAGCATTTGAGCTCCACCCTCAAGGAAAAGGAACCTTCTTCCCCACTTGTCAACACCATAGATTGAAACCATAGTTGCAATTACATTAACACTGCCGGTGATCACAGCCGACATGAGCGAGGCATCAGCTCCAAACCCGATTGTGTTGAACAAAACCGGCGCATAGAACATGATCACATTGATGCCAGTGAGCTGCTGAAAGAAGGGAATGACGATTGCCATGCAGAGGTGAGGTCTGTACTTCTTCCTCAGCAGGTTTCTCCACGGGTCCTCGATTTTGTTCGCCGCTTCACTAGCTGCTACCAGGTCACTGAATTCCTCCCTAACATCATCAACGCCGCGAATGCGTTGGAGCTTGGCCTTGGCTTCGTCATGTTGACCGCGCTCAATCATGGAGTTGGGAGTGTCTGGCAGGACAAGTGAGCCGATTGTGATGATAAGGGCAGGGACCATCGCACCGCCCAAGCTCAACCTCCATCCCCAGCCACCCTTTATCTTGGCAAAGAAGTAGTTCAGCACATTGGCCACAAGAATACCAACTGTGATTGATAGCTGGAAGCCAATGTTAAGAGCTCCCCTGAATCTGTAGGGCGCCATCTCAGACAAGTAGAGTGGCACCGACTGTAATCACAAAAGAAACATAAAAATTAATTAGTCTAATTTACAGAAGGTGATTCGAACTCGAGTGCACATAGGCAAATAGGTTGACCCGGCCAACTGACCTAACCCCCGTCAACGAGATTTGCATTTGGATAATGACAATTAACTTTGCAAACAATTTGATTAAAGTGAACAAAAAGGGTCATGGTCCAGGCCACACATGGGTTTAACATTTGTATGAATTCTTTTTATATTAGGAAGCAAAGAAAGTGACTATTTGTATTAAATTTAGGAATAAACGCATGCCTAAAAAGCGTGCACTGGAACTTTGTGAAAAGTAATTGCTGAAGACAAAGTTTAAGTTTTTCCAATTAAATTTCGCACACATGCCACACCCCTTGTTTGGTTGCTGAGAAAACGGAATAAAAAAAGCAAACTTTCTCTCCTACATTTTCTCAGCAGCCAAACAGTGTATTATACCAAAAGCAGAGGAACAGAAAAAATCCATAAAAAGGCTTGAAATTTTAAACCCAATATTTGAATCAGA